TTGCTGACTTAAAAAAGGAAAAAATTAATTAAATAACAAAATCATTTTTCATTGTATCAAAGTCCTAACCTACATTATCTACATCAGAGGACTTCTATCTTTCAACTTCCAGCTGTTGTTGTTTACCAACTTCCACGACTTTGATGTGATCTTTGGAAGACAATGCTTGATGGGTTTCCTGGTTGTAGCAAAAAATGATAGTATGATTTGGAAAGTGGAAATTCTTTTTCCTGAGGGAATAAAATCAGTGCCTATTAAAAAAAAGAGAAGACTTTAGTTAATCTAAATATCAAGGGTTAAGTATTTGCAAGAATGAAATCAAAATATTATTTTCTGCAGATACTTGCAAGTTTCAATATGTTTTCCCCATGTATCATATTTATTGTTTTGTTTGTATTTTTTAATCTGGCAATTCATAAAAAACTGAATAATGGTTATAAATGGCCCTGGTGTAACTAAATCGTTGCTCTTCATTTTTTATTCAGTCTTCTCTCTTTGCTTATTTCCTTTTCTATCCTTTATGTTTCCAACATCTGGCATTCAAAATTTAGATTCCCTTTTCTATTTTATTATCGATAAATGTATGAAATAATTTAGATTCCCAATTTTAGTCCTAGCTATCTGGGGCCTTTGGAGGGATGGACTTGATATGGACCTAATCTTTGGCAATTTTGTGCAAAAAGTTGTCACTCATAGACTCAAACCACATTCTTATGCTTGTCAGCCTTAGACTTTACGAGGTTGTTTGAACATCTGAAAAAATCTAGAACATTTCAAGTTTATAAGCATGGTTCAAAGTATCAATGTATTCTTATATTAGTTCAGTTTCAATCAAAGCCCGTTATTCCTGCCATTATTGCTCATCTACTATTATTATTTAAAATTGACAATTGTCCCAATTCCCAAATTCCTTGTATTTTGTTGTGTATTGGCAACATAAAAAATCAATAGGTATACATATCATATGATGTGTATGGATCCTTTGAACATGCTTGTAAGTCAACTAAAAATTGATTCTATTGCTTCTCCAATACTACCAATGGTTCATAAGAGGGCACTTAAAGCCCTTACTACTAAAAGTTTCAACATTTCTAACTGTAAAATCAAAATCCTATTTTTCAAGGATTTTTTTCCTGTACTTTCTCCATTTTCTTTATTTTCAGCTTCTAACATTAATTGCTTTAGTAGCTTGATCAACTAAGCTTCCAAGAAAAATTAATTTCCAATTACAACGAAAGTATCCTACAATTGGTAATGATGTAGTACATATTTTTATAGAAAATCATTTTTTAATAATTAAATAACAAAAAATTAAACCTCATGTGAAAATTTTTAAGGTTCAAAGAGAGACAATCATGCCTCCCTCCCATTTGACATTCGACACAGTCCTTCCATATCTATTTTGGAGGAGGCAAGCAGGCATAACCAGAGGTCAGGCTACAAAACAGTGCATCAAATCCTACATTTTACTTTTTTTGCTAGGTGTTTTCTGTAACTTTTATATAATTGCCTCATAATTGGTTAAGTAATATGTTTCTTTCCTTGCTAACTTTCCCCACCCCTCTATCTGCATGCAGTTAGGAAGATTTTAATGGGTTTGAATCCTTTGATGGTTCTTACTCAAAATGTTTTTGTATTTCAATTCCTAAATTTTCTCTCATTTCCAAAGAGAATATGTCTGCTTAAAAAATACTTTGAATCACTTCCCAAAAATTAAATATGAAGTTTGTTTTCTATAGACATATAAAATTAAATACTGAGTCAATTCCCAAAACTTAAATATGATTGCCATTAACCCCTTCGAAGCAGGGGCTCCCGCTAGTTAGATTATTAATAGGAATGGAAAGGAATGGTTCTATTGTCTCTTCTAATGACTCCCATACTTCTTCACCATTGCTTTCTATTGGTCATCATATGGAAATTCATACCAAACATGGTATCTTCAGACATTGATAGGTGATGAATCTTATGGAACCCAAGCATCCTGTTGAATACTCATTGACTCAACCTACTTTCCAAATGCAAACTATAAAGGACCCAAATTGGTGTCGTGCAAGAGAAAAAAACTATAATGCTCCCATGGAAAATGGAACTTGGACTCTCATTCCACCACCTTCTATAGAAAATGTTGTTGGTTTTTGTTGGACCACACCAGAATCACACAACCAACCTCCATGATTCTTGCGATAAGCCTTTGTATTTGCGATAAGTCTTTTGTACCAGAATAGAAAATATACATTATAGTATTTGTATTTATCTAAAACTCCTGTATCTCTACATATAAATATCAGATCATTCATGAATAAAGATATTGTATTCTCTTCAATCTAAATGTATCATTTCATGGTATTAAAGCCATCAACTTATTCGATCGGTGATAACCCCTGTTCGTGTTGCAATGGTCTCTGATTTCTCAACTATAGCAACCTCAATAGCCCAATCTTCAACTCCATCATTGTCGGTGTTCTCTAGAAACAGTCTTACAAATCTGGTCTCGGTTAAAATGGATGGTAAAAATTATATCCCCTGGAAATTCTACATTCTTCCTATTTTGAATGGAGCGAAACTTACTGGGTTCGCTAATGGCATTCACAAGTGCCCACCTCAGTTGCTGGAAAATTGCACCGAGGAAAATCTTACATACTCCTCGTGGGTTCAACAGGATCAACTTTTGATGGGGTGGCTTCTATCATCCCTAACTGAGAATGTTATTGCCCAACTTGTCGATTGCAAGTCCTCTCGTGAAGTCTGGACCACCCTCAAATCTCTTTATGCCTCTTGCTCCAAGGTTCGTATTAGCGAAGTTCGGAATGAACTGCTTCTTATCAAGAAAAACGGCTGCTCCATGCTAGATTACTTACAGAAAGTCAAGACTCTCTCTGACAACCTTGTTGTTGCCGGAGAACTCTTGACTAACTCAGAACTCTCTCACTATACACTCAATGGTCTAGGTGCTGAATACGACACCTTTGTCACTTCAGTAACCACTCGGTCGGAGGAGCTATAATTTGATGACTTGCAAGTTTTGTTACTGAATCAAGAACTCAGAATGGAAGCTCATTCTCAGTCTTCTGTGTTGTTTCCCTCGGCTAACACTACCAGTAGAACTCACAAGTATAAGAGCCATTTTCCCTCTTCCTAGTTGGATAACTCTACTTTTGACAGGGATCATCCATCTCAACAAAAAAACCATCGAAGTATGCATTAAACCCCTATCAGATCTATGGTGGTCGGAATCACTCGGCATTCTGGTGCAAAAATTGGTTCAATCAATCCTTCAAACCCAAAAGTCGCAAACCTACCACTAACAACTCCACTTCAACAACCTACATTGCATTTACTACTCCTACTTCAAACGATTGTAGGTATCCTGACTCAGAAGCCACCAACCATCTTATAGTTGATCTTGGAAAGCTCCAACTACATTCAGAGTATCATGGTCCTGACCAAGTCACCACAAGTAACAGCCAAGGTCTGCATATTTCACATACTGGTACATCTATTTTTCATGGGAAATCTTGACCTCTCATCTTACGTAACATATTGCATGTTCCCCATATTCATAAGAATCTTCTCTCGGTAGAACAATTTACTCATGACAACAATGCTTTATTTGAATTTCACCCTTCCTATTGTGTTGTCAAGGATCGCACCATAGGGGAGATTCTCTTTCGAGGGGAAAGTAGAGACGACTTATATGTGTTTGATGCTTCAGATTGTCACTTGCAAACTAGTTCCTCTCCAGTTGCTTTAGTTCCTGAAATAAAGTCCCTTGATATTTGGCACCATAGGCTTGGTCATCCCTTCTTCAAGTTGTCAAGGACGTGCTCCAGATTTCCAATATTTCTATCACTAATAATTCCTCTTCGCGTTGCACTGCCTGTCCTCTTGGAAAGAGCCATCGGTTAACGCTTCCCACCAACCTCCATTCTTATTCATCTCCTTTTGAATTAATAGTTTCTGATGTATGGGGGCCTTCCCCGGTTCCGTTTGCTCATGGTTTATGTTACTACATAGAATTTATTGATTACTACAGTCGTTATGTATGGATCTTCCCCATAATGAATAAATCTGAAGCATTTTCTATCTTCATCAAATTCCAGAAATTTGTTGCTAATTTCTTTGGCTCTCACATCAAATACTTCTAGTCTGATGGCGGTGGTGAATATCGTACATTCACTCCTTATCTTGAACAGCAAGGCATTGTACATTGCTTCTCGTGTTCGCACACACAATCTCAGAATGGTGTTGCCGAGTGCAAACACCGTCACATAGTTGAGACCAGACTCACATTATTGGCTCACTCTCATGTACCTAAATGCTATTGGTTTGATGCCTTCTTCTTTGTAGTGCATCTCATTAACCGGATGCTCACCGATGTACTGGGTGGTGTTTCTCCATATGAACAACTATTCTCCAAGAAACCTGATTATCACTTCCTGCGAGTATATGGCTGCCTCTGCTTTCCTTACTTGTAACCTTACATGTCCAACAAGATGGAGTACAGATTTCTTCCCTGTGTATTTATTGGTTACGGCCCCAACCACAAGGGCTATCAGTGCCTCGACTCGGCTTCAAGACGTATATACACTGTTGTTCATGTTCTTTATCATGAGATGAAATTTCCCTTTTCTCACCAGTCTACAATACCTACACATCACTCTTCTCTGACCCAGCCTATTGGCTTACCACCTATTATTGTTCCTTACATTCCTGCTCCCACCTCTGTTGTTGCTCCCACCATTGCATCTAATGACTCTTCTGGATCCTCAGACTGCCCTTTGTCATCTCCATCCATGAGTTCTCTGTCTTTATCAACTCCTCCTCCACCTGTAACTGCTCATGTCTCTACTCATCCCATCTGCACTTGAGCCAAAGACGACATCTTCAAACCTCGCAAACCTCTCTCTCTTGTTGCCACATGCCACCCAATTCCAACTTCCGTCTTTAAACCTACATGCTTCTCCCAAGCAAACAAAGATCCACAATGGTGTGCTGCCATGGTTGAGGAGTACAATGTGTTTCTTCGCAATGGCACATGGGAGCTGGTATCTCCCCCTTCACACTGCAATGTCATTGGCTATAAGTAGGTCTTTCGCCTCAAACGCAAACCAGATGGTATCATTGATTGATACAAAGCTTGTCTCATTGTTAAGGGCTTTCATCAAAGGGAAGGTTTTGACTTCACTAAGACATTCAGCCCAGTTGTCAAGCCCTCCACTATTCGGCTTCTTCTCACTCTTGTAGTATCTCTCTCCTGGCCCTTGCGTCAAATTGATATACAAAATGCTTTCTTGCATGGCGACCTCTGTGAAGAAGTATGCATGTCCCAGCCACCTGAATTTGTTGATGACTCTCGACTTTCTCATGTCTGTCGCCTAAGAAAGTCCCTCTACGGGCTAAAACAGGCCCCTCATGCCTGGTACTCCAAGCTTAGCTCCTTCCTTCTGGATTATGGGTTTACAGCCAACAAAGTGGACTCCTCTCTCTTCATCTTGCGAAGTGACACTCACTGCCTGTACATTCTTGTATATGTTGACGATATCATCCTCACTGGATCCACACATTCTGCTATTACTGATCTCATATCAGCTATGGAATCTCACTTTGCAGTCAAAGATCTTGGCTCTCTCTCCTTCTTTTTAGGTATCGAAGTCATTCAAACACCTAATGGTTTGTTTCTCAATCAACGTTGCTATGCCCAAGATCTCCTTGAGCGCACTGTTGGTGACCCATTCTTAGATGTTCCACTTTATTGTAGTACTGCTGGTGCACTACAATACCTCCTTCTCACTCGACCAGACTTTGCCTTTGTTTTAAATAAAGCTTGCCAATACTTGCAATCCCCTACTTTCGCTCACTGGTCCTTTGTTAAGCACATCTTGCGTTATCTTAAGTCCACCGTTGAGTTTGGCCTTTGTATTACACCCTCTTCCATCACCTCCATGCACATCTTCTCTGACTCTGATTGGGCAGGATGTCCTGATTATCGTTGCTCGCAAGGTAGTTATTGCATCTTTCTTGGCAACAATCTCCACTCTTGGTCATCTCGCAAATACGCTACTGTCTCACGCTCCAGCACTGAAGCAAAGTATCGCAGTCTTGCTCTCGCAACTTCCGAAGCTCTCTGGATTAACTCTCTCTTCCGTGAGCTTGGCTTCTCTCTTTCATGCTCTCCCACACTGCGGTACGATAACATTGGAGCCACTTACCTCAGTGCCAATCCCGTTTTTCATGCTAGGACTAAGCATATCGAAATCGACTTCCACTTTGTTTGAGAGCAAGTTGCCAAAGGTACACTTCGTGCTCAATACATCTCCACTCATGACCAAGTGGTTGACATCTTCACCAAGCCATTAAGCAGACCCTGTTTCTAGCAGCTCTGAAACAAGCTATGCATTGCCTCACCCCATGCATCACTTGAGGGGGGGTGTCGGACCACACCAAAATCACACAACCAACCTCCATGATTCTTGCAATAAGCCTTCCTGCGATAAGCCTCTGTATTTGCGATAAGCCTTTTGTACTCATATTGTTTATCTTTATCTCCTCTTCTATGTATCAATAGAATAGCAGATATTCATTCCAGTATTTGTATTTATCTAAAACTCCTGTATCTCTACATGCAAATATCAGATCATTCATGAATAAAGATATTGTATTCTCTTCAATCTAAGTGTACCGTTTAAGTTTTAAATGGGGTTTTCATCTAAAATGAAAACCAAATGGTTCCATTGAAGGTTTTTAAAACCAACCCGGAAAATGAACCGGTCAGGGTCCGGTTCCCGGGTCGAATAGTTTGATCATTCAAACCGAATAGTTGGCCCATTCTGACAAAAAATAAAAAATGGTCAAAACCGTTCAAATGGTTAACCGCTTGAGTCAACAGTTTGCTAACCAATATCAACGGTTTTTGGGAAAAATCCAGTTTTGGAGAAAAACGGAATTGGTCACCTGATCAATTCCCAGTTTTCTGGTCCAACCATCCAATCCAGTCCAGTTTTAAAAACCATGATTCCGTTGAGAGATCCAATCCAATCCAATCTTGTGTCCAAGAGGTACAATGAGCGGATTAGACTCAAGAACAAAGAGGCATTTAGTACCATAATCAAACCAACTACTCTTCATGCGGTTCTCTCTAACTATTTCACATGGTTAGGATTTGAGGCAGCTTGACGTCCATAATGCATGGCTCTCTTGACAAAAATGTCTACAGTGATATCTTTATGGGCTAAAGTAAGCATCTTGTGCATGGTACCAAAATCTCACTTCATTCTTACACTTTACTGGCTTTCCTCTCTTCTCAGTCTTTGTCTCTTTGTTTTAATTTATGTTGATGACACTATCATAATAGGGCCTCAACCCACTATCATTTCCTTTTTGGTTTTGCAACTTGGGTCCACTTTTATAATTAAAGACCTTGGACCACTACACTATTTCTTAGGAGTTCAAGCCACTCGTAGAAAGTCTGGATTATTTCTCTCTTAGAGAAAATATATCTTGGATCTTCTAACTAAAGAAGGGTTAGAAGGTATTAAACTTGTTACAACTTTTATGGTTATTGGTATTTAGTTGTGACACGGGAATGGTGACCCCCTCACTGATTCCACACCATTTCATCAGCTTATAGGTGCCTTGCAGTTAATAAGGGGTCCCAGTTCATACACATACCCACCATTGCACACTACAATGTACCAATAGAAATGTGTGGTATCTAAAGCATACCATCATGTTTAGGGGTGAGCAAAAAAAATCGAAAAACCGAATCGATCGAAAAAATCAACTGAAATCAAAGAATCGAAAAATTGGTTAATCAAATTAGTCGGTTCAGTTTCAGTTCGGTGTTTTAGAAAAACTGAAGGTACCGGTTCGGTTTCGGTTAACTAATATAGAAAGCCAGTGGTTAACCAAACTAACCAATATACATATATTTCTATATATTTTATATATGTTTATGTATAGTATATATATATATATATTATTTTTTATATATTATAAATTAATAAATATGCATTATATATATAAATATATATTTATAATATATGATATATTATTTATTATTTAAAATATAATATTTTTATATATTTATAATTTTTATTATATATTATATTTTTATAATAAATATTATAAAAATTAAAAACCAAAAAAAATGACCAACCAAACCGACAATTAACCAAATTGGTCAACTGGTTACAACCGAAGCATGAGCACCCCTAATCATGTTTATATTTTGCTTACTCCCACATCAAACTTGTCACTTCATGCTTTTTCTAACGCCAATTGGGCTGGATTCCCTGATGATCGTCGGTTTCAAGGAAGGTATTGTATTTTCATAGGAAATAATCTTAAAGCAACTGATCATCTCAAAGCCCAGCATGAAGGAGTCAAGTATCGCAACCTTGCTTGTGCCACTTTGGAGTTTCTATTGGCTTTATTCTCTCCTTTAATTTGTGAACTTGGCTTTCTTCCCTTTGAGCCTCATATTTTGTGGTATGATAATTTACAGCCAACTCGGTCTCCCATGCTCATACCAAATACATCAAATTAACTAAACTTCTACTTTGTGCAAGAGCATGTTGACTACAAAGTGACACCACCTTGAATGCCCTCACAAATGGGTGCTTAGGCACTAGTGGGGATTCAAATGGCTCAAATGAACTTTGAGTTCGATTTGATAGAAAAAGAAAAAAAAAAAACAGTTCATTAGGCTGAATTTGAAAGGAGTACAAATTAATGCAAATATATAGTGTAAAACCTTATAATTTATATTATTTTGTATGTATTTATGCTGTATATGTTCGCATTTGTACTCCTTCCAAACTCAGCCTTATGTCCAAGTTTGATTCAAATCTGTTGGACATATGTTCTCACTGTGCTTATTAGAATTCGATCTTATAAGGAGTAATAAGAGTAAAAAAAACAACTTAACCTAACCCATTAAAGCTGCGCTTGGAAAAGGTGCAAATAAGTGTGAATGTAAATATGTAGAGTGTAAAACGGTCCATATAAATTGTAAAGTTTGGTTAGTTTTGTATTGACAAATTTACCTTCTTACCAAACAGATTTTTAGTTGTAATGGATGCAAACATGAATTCCAATAAAACATATGCATGTTTTTATCAAAAGCCCACTTGAATGCAAATTTACTTCTTTATTATGGATTTACTTTTACATTTTATTGTTAATGTAAATATGCATTGAAAAATGTGTTTTCTGTCATTTGTCAATACATAAATGTAATATTTTCAAACACAAGCAAAAGTGAACCAGAGTACAAATTTACCCTGAACCAAGATTTGCACTCCATTTGCATTGTTTTAAACACAGTCTAATCTCATTAATTCCTCAAAAATATACTATCATTATGTGAAGAAGGAATGTTAACTTTCCTATTTTGCCTTTAGTGTTCCTCCCAAGATTTCTTCATATATATTGGTTATGTTGTTATTGCATGGTTTTCTTTCGAGGGTTCCGGTCCTTCATTGAGTTTTTTTGGACATGATATCTTTAGTCAATCAATTGATCATGAGTTTTAATTTCTAGGGATACAATCGATCATTAACTATTGTTCAAGTCATCAAATGAAGAAGGAAAATAGCCTTACCTATGTTAGTGTAGCGTTGTTTTATTCCAAGGGTTCTTTGATCCTCTACTAAGGCCCTGTTTGGTTTGCAGGAATAGGAGTTTGGAATTGGAATTGGAATGGGCTATTCCGATTCCAACTGTTTAGTTGGGCAGAATCGGAATTCTATTTCCATTCCTGCTGGAATGACATTCCCTCGTTTAAGGAATGGCCATTCCCTGCCCCTCCCTTGGGTATGAAATCTTATTCCTGCTGATTTTAATTCTCATTTCCATTCCTGTCTAAACTAAACAGGTTATAGGATGGACTATTCAGTTTCCGATTCCAACTACGAATCAAACGGACCCTAAGTTTTTATGGACTTTGAGTTTTAATTTCTATGGTTGCAAATGGATTATCGACTGCTATAAGAGAAAAACAAAGTGGACTATACCTCATGATGTGAGATCTCAAAACTAATATGGAAATATAATTTAATAAGAAGTAAAATAGAAGCACAATCACAAAGAAGTTGGTGGAAGTTTGACACCTCAAAACCAAGAAGTCCAAGATAGAGTTAAAAACTTAAAATAGCTCCTACAAGATTACAACATTGCATGAAGAAGACGAAAATGTTAAATCTCTACAAGAAAATTGAAAATGTTCAAGAAGCAAGAACAAGAAGAAGGTTTAAGAATAATGGGATGAATCATGAATGCTAGCTAGTAACTCTATCTGATCTCTATGGCTTGAGCCTCCAAACTGTAGGTAATGAGTGCTGACCAATGGCGGTAGTAAGACTGTAGTTGACAACGAGAACAACTATTGGAGGGTCTTAGGTTTAAGTTTGTTGAACAAAGCTAAAGGCCTAAGTTCAAGTTCAACAATTAAGGCCCGTTTGGTTCATGGGAATAGGGGTCTGGAATTGGAATCAGAATGATGGGCCATCCCAATTTCCAACTGTTTGGTTGAGCAAAATCAGAATCCTATTTTCATTTCTAATGGAATGGCATTCCCTTGGAATTGAAATCTCATTCTATCCAATTCCAATTCTCAATTCGATTCATGTTTGAACAAAATAGGTATGGCAATTTTCTCCATTTTCAACGGGTATCCGACTTCCCCGACCCAATGAGGTTGGGAATGAGGATTGAGGTCCCCACCCCGCCTTGATCCCATTGGGCGAGGACCTTATTTATATTATTTATAATTTAAAATTTTTATTTATTTTAAGTAAATTTATTTTTCAAAATACACTGTTAACTAAAATAGTTCGAAGATTTGGGTCCTCACAGGGAACCTGTCCCCATTGGAGATCAGGGGTGGAGGATAACTTTTATCCCTGACGAGGAATAAAAACGGGAATGAAAATTAATTTTAGAATGAGATAGAGAATGAAGATGCAAATTAATTTTAGAATCGGGATCGGAAACAGGAAATATGACCTCCGCCCCCTGTTGCCATTCCTAGAACCAAACAGACTATTATTGTGAATTAAACGGACCCTTATTCTGTTCGATTGATCAAATCAATGGTTTTAGATGGACAGTTTTAGGGCCAACCTCATATAAAAGTTAAAACTAGTCATATACCTTTGGGCGCAAGAATGTGCAAGAGACTCTTACCTTGGGGGGCAAAACCTTTACATAAGCACTCAATGAATCGCCATGTTACCAGCTTGTAGGACACATGTCACCTCCTGTTGGGGGCATGGATTGAGTTATTCTCTGATGTGGCCCATGTATCCCTCCCTCTCTTGGTAGGGTGGAAAGTTCAAGCCGTCGCATCGGCTTGAGCATTCGTTGCTCACTACTTATCCATCCCTCGGTGTGGGCCCAAGCTTGTCGATCACACCCCTACTGCTCCGTAGGGGTGTCGATTGGACTGAATTTGGTCCAATCCAATTCAGTCTAATGTGAGTCCATTACAAATGGATCAGGTTCAATCTAATTCAATGAATAATTTGGATCGGTTCAATTTAATGTTTGAACTGTTTAATTTGTTCAAACTTATTTTAATTTAGAGTGGTTTTAACCAAAATTCGGTCCATTGACACCTATATTATTATCTTATATCAATGGACCATATGTTGATTAAATCCAACCAAATCCAATATAAATTTATTACGAACAGATCAAGTCCAGTACAGTCTAATAAATATTTTGAACTGGATTAATCCAGCCCACTATGCCTTTTTGGTCCGTCCAATCCGTTCAAATTGATTTTAGATTGGACCCCAAACTGGTCCATTGGCACCCTTACTTCTCGGCTTCAACACTTATTGGCTCCTCAACTAGTTTGAATGTCTTCTCCTTGACTTGGCCACATGTCAACTTATTATTGTGGCACTGATTATGAATACAACATGATAAGTTTTAGGGAAATTTATGGTTTATTCTCTCTAGAAATTATTTTTATTTATTTTTTAAATGTAGTCTCAAACCTTCACATATAATGGATTCCTCCATTTAGCACTATCCGTTGTATAAACTCATAATGTGGACTGAAATTTTTGAATTTCAATTCAAATATCTAATTATAACATAGATTGGATTTCAATTCGTAGAAATTCTATCCCTCCACTTACCATTTTCTGCGCGACACGTTGTCAGGGATGCGGGGTAAAATAGTATTTACGATGAATATTTTTCTAGTTAAACATTGAATTGAATGGGATAACGTGTCATGCCCATAACTCTCAAAGATCCCAATCTATTTTTTCTTAAACAGTCGAGGCTTTTTCTGTCCGTTTGGTTGATAGGTGAGTCCCTGCATATTGTTATTGACACGTATCAAGTAGGTAAAAGTACAAGTGATGTACACGTCATCTGCTTCGACTCTTTTTGACGACAAATTGACCGTAGATTCCATCAGTTCCTTCGTTATGGTAATAACTTGAGCCATTTTGGTAATTTAACTAGCCAAGCTAGAAAAGATAAAGCAGTCTCTCAAAAAGTCTGAAACTCAAGAGCGGAGAGAGGCCTACTTTTTTCGCGTCTTGAACCGAAGGCATCTGCTTTGTCGTTGGTGGGAGTCTAAATCAATCTCCATTATCCTACTGTTTGCAAAGATTAGCCCTGCTACTCCTGTTAATTACCAAAGTACCACTACTCCAGCCATCATACAGCACAATTAGCTACAACCATCAAATTTGGCTCAATATTTGAAGATTTAAAGATGTGATCCACATTTTCTTCAGGCCCTAGCAAACTGGCACTTGCACTCGGGTGCCTAGTTGTTATGCCACGTGTCATTATTGATGATGCATGATTACCATCCAGGGGGTCCCACTTATTGTCCTAGCTAAACTCTTTGTATGCAAAACACGTGTCTAAAACGTCGCATTCACTGTGACTCAATCTTTAAAGATTGGACCTACACGTCGTGCACATGATAATACTGTACAATGCCAAATACCGTGTAAACACCTCTGCAGCAGGAAGCTGACGTATGAAGAAAAAACACTACAAGAAAGGCAGGTATAGAGCGTAAATACACGGAGAGTTCAGTGGTATTATTGTGATTTTACCCAATAAAGCACGTTGGTTCATTTATGGTCAGCTTTTCTTTTGCGAATCCCTGTGCTTTTGCTTTTTCCGTTTTTCCTTGTAACTGCATTCATCTCTCTCTCTCTTGATCAATCGAATTCAATATATTTGAAGTTCTAGGTCGATCAAATGGCCATCGAGCACACAATGGATCAACAAACATTCGGCGGACTGGTCTTCTGCGACACAACTCGCCCACAGAATCTGAATTATTCCTCCGTCTTCGGCGGCAACATGAAGCGAAGCGCGTCGGAACTAAAGCTGGAGGAGCTCCTGGGGCGGATAATGGCGCCGGAGACCGGCGAGAACGAGAACTGGAGTAACATCCAGAGAGCGAGAAAATCTGGCGAAACCGACGGCTTCTCCGGAGCCCAGGTGCAAGACAATAGTTTCAACGACGTTTATGCTACCGCCGGCGATCTGGGGTTCGGATCCAGAGACCGGGTAAGTTAGTTAACTTAGTTATTTCAGTTATTCTTATTTCTTGAGCTATAATTTTCATGGATAAAATAAAACCGAAACTTCAACGTCGGTTGGGGTTGGACTCGTCGCTTTGAATTCTGCCATGCAAACACAAAGGAAGCAATTTCCAACTGACGTAGAATTGCTGTTCTGAGAGCATGAATTAGGAAATATTTAGTGTTTTGCGAGGTACCGAGCTAAACTATGTCCAAGCTCTGAAGTCTCAACGCTGGAATACTGCGATTGCAATTGACGGTGAATAGTTTTTTTTCTCTTTTTGGAATTTGTTCTGTTATGCTGAGATTTGGTAGTGAGTAGTCGTGGGTTGGGTCGGTGGAATGATCGATCAGTCTGACTATGATTGAGTAATGATGATGCAAACAGAAACTTTGTGCGTGGTTGTGTCAGCAGAAAACAGAGTTGGAATGCCTTGTGAGCTACGGAAGCAGTGGAGGTGGGACCTATAAGATATCCCAGTTGTGGACATGGGCCCGCTTTAGAAGCCCAACTTTTTTTGGGTTGGGCTGGGGGGAAATCCACTACCAGTTTAGGATCATGGGTACATGTAACCGGTAGGCCCAGTTTCACCATCATCTTTTTACAATAACAGCTAGAGCTTTGGTTTGGTCCCACGTAATCATGTGAATAGGATACTGGTAAAACTGTTCCAACACTCTTCCAACTTGATCACGTCGGAACTTGTTGGAACGTTTTTCTTTCTTTCTTATTAAATTTCTTTTCTTCTTTTTTTTTTTTAAAAAAAAAAGATCCGGACCCGATATGAGGATGAAACAGATATAATGGATAAATGAAATTGGATAGCGTGAAATTCAAATTTAATACATTAATGTTAGTATATGACTCAAATCTAAACATATCGGTCAGACATTGTATTATTATTCAAATGAATTAAAAATGATTTTGATATTGTATATTAAGCGTTAATAAAACGAATTAATAGATTAAAAAATGGTTAAAAATATTCTTATATTATGAGTTAAATGATTTGAAAATAACTGTTTCGAGGACTCAATTAATGGCTCAAGCTTTTTTTAGTTAAAATTCCTCTCCATAGAAGCACTATTTCAAGAATAAATTTTGAGTAAACATATATGCAACATTAATTAACACCAACTATATTAACAGAAACAAAGGTACATGCATATTCAAAAAATTATAAATGGATCGAATTCAGATTTCACATTGCTTCCCAAATGGATCAGCTTCAAATTTGTTTTTGGGTAAATGGATATATTTACAGCCCTATATCTCTATACCCGAGCTATCTATGATGCTAGAAAGGTATGATGCCGGAATAATTTTGACCAATCAGAAACCCTGTGACATTTGATAAATATTACCTGATTGGTTATAAACATTTTTAAATGTCATGTCTTTCAGGTATCATATTCGGATTCTTATTTTATGTTCAAAAATCATTGATTTAACTTGAGAATATGGTCAAAAAGAAAGGAAGAAAGAAAACACTCAGCAACGGTCAATAATAAATTTTGATTGTTTGGATTCCTCGGCTGATTATTTGGGAAACTTTCGGATGTCTGTGTTAGGGGCTGATGAACATGATTCTAAGAATCAATTTTATTTCTGTGATTCTAAGAAACCAGTCCAATAGCAAGGTTCCCAATAATAAAGTAAGCATTAGAGCTAGCTTTAAGATGAAGATCAAGCCATTTGGCCATTTGGGCAAGGCCAATATGAATCTAATTCAGTCAATATTCCATTTGTTTATGGTTTATAAGGAAAATTATGATTTGGGTTTCCTGTTTGAGAGGTTTTTAGCATTTTTCATGGTTCAAAGCTTAGGAAGCAATTTGCAATTTCTTTTAGATTCTCACTGCTCATCCTGGAAAATTTTGACTTGTGCTTGGAGAAGCACATACATCAAAGAAAAAGCAAATGAAAAAAAAAATTAGGGTGTATTTGGATAGGTTTCTAGAAAATAAAAGTTAGCTCCTTTATCTTGACTTTATGAACAATGGTAAAGTTCACTTTTCTTAAAGTCTTCACTTTTTTCTGCTATTGAAAGTAAAGAAGGAAAAAACAACTCAGATAAAAGCAAGAATTTTTCTTGTCATTCTTCTACTCTGAAAAGCAACTTTGGAGAATGCATCACACGTATCCTTCTAGTTTATTTGTCTGTTTGGTTTTAAAAGTTAAAGAACCTGTTTGCGAACATAAAACTTAGTAGTGAAGAAAACTTGTCTCTTTGGTCATAAAGGAAAAGGTTTGAACACCAAATTAAGACGACCAGTGTTGACCATCACCCCATCGATGACATTGGGTTGGTGGGCTTGGGTTACTCCAATTTCTTCTTCTTTTTTTTTTTTTCTAGAAGAATCCTTTCTTATTGGACCGGCTGGGATTAGACAACTAGGGTTGACCAACTTTAGCATTAATCTACACATATAGTGACAAAATTATACCAAAAAATCTTAGCTTTTAGACTTAAAATTGTTCATAAACATACATACATACATGCATAATTTAGTTTCGGTCTGGAATTGCCTGAGAGTTCAGGTTAACTAGGCCCAAGTTACACACCCACTGGCTTATGATCATCCATCGTTCCATGGATGTATGAACTGGATTGAGCTTTAGTTTGTTTTGAAGTTTGAACAGTTTAAAATCTTCAATTTTACCTCTTTGATGCAATGTCAAGCCTTCAAGCTTGTAAGATCCCAAAAAAAAAGAAGTATAGCTGAACTCAGATGGGAGGATTATCCATCCTCCCATGGATAAATTTACTGGCTCCACCTTCAATCTGTTCTGAACAGCCCAAATTCTTCAACTCTGATGCATTCTGAAAACTTCGATTCTTCATGAGAAGAGTGTTGAAATTGTATCTCAAAACAAAGGACTTGCTTCATTCTTTATGTAAACTCTTTGTCACCGTCTCTGAATGCAGGACACAGTTAATGACTTGATAAGTTATGGTGGATTAACAGAAAGCGGATTCCGGGCTCAAAATCTCACGCCAAAGCATTCAAACATTTCAGCCACCATGGATTCCCAGTCATCAGTATGCGGTAAGGAATTGATGATGTAATTAAACATCACTCTGTGTCTACAAAATACTTAATCTGATCTGAGACCATAAACATGTTTTAAAGGCTTTGTGCTCAGTAAGAGACATTGGCCATTGATGATACAAACATTTACTTGCATAATGACTTAGATTTTGGTTCTAATACTTGAACGAGAAGACCAAATCCTTGGCTGAGGACCCAATTGTTGTGGGTATGTTCGGGTTTTTACTTGTTTACAGGTGGTCCTGCATCTAGTTTAACATTTGGGTACACAGGAACTGCATCAGCTGGAAGCCCCGCTTCTGCAAATCAACCCAAAAGTGTAGATACCCAAGGACGGGGAGCAGCTAGTGGTTCTTCACAGGAGCAATCAGATGAGGATGACATCGAAATAGAAGCTGGGTCATGTGAACAAAGCAACAGCATCACTGACTCCAAACGCCTTAGGAGGTGCATTACAATATTGTTTATGAGTTAAAACTGATAGGTTTTGATTTATTATTACAGTTTTTCTCAATGAGGTTTCTGATTTGGTTTCAGGATAGTATCAAATAGATTGTCTGCTAGACGTTCGAGGGAGAAAAAGCAAGCACATTTGGCTCAACTTGAGTTGCAGGTCTTAATTAAACCTAACCTGTGATTATAGATTCAAAGGAAACTTTCATTAATTTACTTTTCTTCTTCTGTCTTCTTCTTCTGTGAGTCCATTTTCTTTTTCTCTACTGTACCAGGTTGATCAACTAAGAGGACAAAATGCAACTCTGTACAAGAAGTTCAACGATGCAAGTCAACAATTCAAGGAAGCTGCTACTGATAATCGGGTGCTCAAATCTGATATTGAAGCTTTGAGACTGAAGGTATGGAAAAACCATCGGAATGCAACAATTTTCTACATCATCTGTTACAGGAATCCACAATCCCATACATTTGGGGTTTCTCTCAGCCTCATTACAATTTGATTATTATGCTGTGGCTCCATTGCATTACTAATTTATGAACATTCTCTGAAGGAATCAAAACTGCATTTTTTTTTTAATTTACAGGTTAGATTGGCAGAAGATATTGTTACTCGAGGCTCACTAACTTGTAGTTTGAATTATCTCCTTCAAAGCCATTCCAATTCACCACAGTTACTTAATACCAACCAGTTATTTCGCGCGTCAGAGGTTTTAGCAAGCATGGATAACCAAGGTCAAGACACAGCTTACGGAGAGATAGCAGCGCTTGGATCGGGGAATGGTGATACTGATGGAAGCATCAAGAATAGACTGAACTGGAACCAACCACCATGCCAAAGGATGACAAGCTTGGAACATCTACAGAGCAAAATTGACAGTGACCATCTCAGCTGCATGGCTGAGTTTTGGCCATGAGAATCACATGTGATGTCCATCTATAGGTGCTCTGTCTGCTCATGAAGTTCCTAATACCTGCTTTTCTGGGTCTATTAGACTTTTGTTTAGCTTTTCTTCTTTACTTAATTATAGTTAACTATAAAGGACAGTAACTTGTTTGTCTAAAACATTTTAAAGTCTGTTTGTGTGGAGTGTAAATCTGAACCGGATACGAAATTTGCACCCAGTTCAGTTTTACATCCATTTGTTTGTAATTATGATTGCACTCCTCTTTGATACAGATTTTGTAATTTTTGTCTCTTTTGCACTCGTAGGAAAATGCAAATTTTACATGATGTGCAAAGTTTACATCACCTTTCTCCTACCTCTATTCTTTCATATAAAGTGGGACCATACCATCTTACTTCTAATTACATCACTAAACAAATAACCCTTCTATGGTTCTACCTACATTTTCTTTGGTATAAGGTGGGGACCACACTGATGCTGCTTGGTTCGACAAACAGGGAGAAAATTGAAAATTCGTTTGAAGATCATGGCGGAAATATCATCCATGATCACAAATAGTTGTTAGAGATAGGGGTGAGTATGGGTGGATTCGGTTCGGTTCCATGGAAAAAACCTGGAACCTACCCTGTAGGGCTGGTTCCAGGTTTTTGGAACCGGAACTTATCCTGTGGTCAGTTCCAAACTCTTTGGCCTTGGTGGTTTTAGGGTCAGTTCTAGGGTTTATCCGTGGAGTCTATTCTTTCTTTACTCTCCCATTCAGAAATAAAAAAAGTCATGTTCTTTAAAAACTTGATTTTATAATAAATATAATATATGGTTTAAAACTTATATTATCATTTTTAATTAAATTGAGTAACTTAATGTGTAGATGATCATTATATGGTTCAAAACTTGTAATTTAAATCTTACAGATATTACCTTTTACATTACTTATTGTACACATTCAAATATTAAAATGAAAACATATGATCAAATGAGACCATGGCCTTTGTAACCATAAATGTTTGGGTTCAAATCTTCACATCTCCAAATGTATTTTGGGGTTTATTTCAAGGTAAGTTTGATTTCAAGGTAGGTTCCACCAAGGCCAACCAAGGTTGATTCATTGGGTCAGTTTGGGTAGGGTAAACCCCTAGACCTTGGAACCGGCTTGGGTAGGGCTTAGTTAATTCCAAGAATTTGGAACCAGACCCAACCTTCTAATAGATTGGATAGGGTCGGTTCAAGACTGATTTGAGGTTGGTTCCATTCAATTCTAGGTAGAACCTACCCATTTGCTCACCCCTAGTTAGAGGCCTCAGGGTGATGTCTTGAGGGTTGAAATTCCAATGGTTAAGTTAGCAAGGTATTAGAAGAGAGGATCAGCTGAAAAACTTGGTAAATAATAGAGGTGCAAGTTCATCTATTTATAGAGGGAGCTGTTAGTGGTGGTCTTGGAGGTAAGGTTGCAACTTGGGCCGACCCGGCCCAAATCCAATCCTAACCCAACCCAAAAAAGTTGAGTTGGGTTGGGTTGGGTTGACGTTCGGGTTAGGGTTAGGGTTGAAATTCATGAACCCAACTTTACTTCGGGTTGAGTTAGGGTTAACCCCTTAGTCAACCCAAACCCGAACCCAACTTGTATGTAATATAATTGTATACATTGATTTGTTTAGATACATGATATTTGTATAGCCCCACATAGTATCATGTATTTCTTTTAAGATAATCACTTCACTTAATCCTAATCAGAAAGACTAAAACCTTAATAACATTATTTTATGTTTTTTGAAAATTTTATTCTCCATCTCCTCTATATTGTTTTTTGCCCAAGAAAGAGCTATCATAAGTCATAATTCATAATAAACTATAGTCATTTCTAAAACTTATTTTTCTAAACTTTATACTAAAAGAACAAAAAAATAATGTCAACAAACAAATACTAACGAAACATAGGATTAATATATATATATATAATGAAAGTTGAGTTAAGATCTAAAATCGAGAAATTTTATAAGGTTGTAAAGGATGGGAAGAAGGTTGGGTTGGATTGGTCGGGTTGAAGGTTGGATTGGGTTAAGGTTAGGGTTGAGGTTTAGAACTTAGGATTGGACTAGAATTGACCTCAACCCGACCTAACCTGACCCAACTTGCAGCCCTACCTAGAGGTAATAGATCCTATAACGGCTCCTATATTGGTCTACTTTCTCTGCCCGTAATGGGCCTAATGGCAGCACCATTACCACATGGTTGGCCATTAGCCTGCATTAAGTACATGGGCGTTCATGGTCTGACCATCTGGGCCCACATGTAATGTTCAACCGTTACAGTTCTGTACGTTGTGCCCAAGTCATCCAGTGAAGTTACCAAATTGCCTTCTGAAGTGGAGCAAATTGTCTACACTGTCCAAATATCATTTTACTTCTTATTTTACATCTCACAAATAAATAAAATAAAGTCAAACTTGAATTAAAAGTAACCAAAATTAATTTAGGTTGTGTTTAGATGAGATTTTACTTTTTTTTTCAAAATATAAAAGCATAAAGCAAGTTTTGTGTTTTATTGTGTTCTTTCGTAGTTTGATAAATATTATTTTCAAAACAAGATTTTGAAAGCAAAAGCATAAATAGTGCATGTTTGGTTACAACATGTTACTTTACTATATAGGAGTATAGGACAAGATAAATTCTACATGTTAGTTTATTATATGTTGAAATTTAGAATACAAAAATATCACATGACCTATAATTGTGACATGTGGCACAAATTAAGGCCACATGACATATATTTTGCCACATTGCGATAGACATCAAGCTTAATATATATATTTTGTCATATGTCACAAATTTTGCCACATAGTATATAATTTGCCATGTTTCACAAATTTTGCCACATGGCATATATTTTCCATATATCACAAATATTTCCATAAAGTGTATACACATTTGTATCTTATATTCTTATTGTGTTTCTGAAAAACATATTTGACCCAAAGTACATAGCAAAAACATGAAATAATCTAGAATGATTCTGTGCATTTTGTTGCGGATGTTTCATTTTGTCGTTGGAACTATGATACTTTTTCTTATATAGATATATATATATATGGATTTTTCTAAAGAATTGCAAAAATAAGTTATTTGTGCTTAGGGGCATAAATCTATAGATCTTAGGAGCTCTGTGGAGAGTAGAACCATAGATATATTTGTAGAATTGGGGTTCAAGAGAAGAAAGCCTTAAAAACTGCATGTAGGATTGGGACTTGGTGATATGATAATAGATATTTGAAAATGCATAAGTGAGTTAAAACAAAATCATGTTTACTAGTGAACATCCCCTATAGGTTGTTAAATATGACTATTAAAAGCAATGAAAATGCTTCATGAGTAGTAGAGGAAAAAAATGTAATGATATAAATATAAGAACAAATGTGATACATAATAAGTTTCTAAGCCTAACTATGAAGCTTTGAAACAGGGTGATTGAACAACAATTAAGACATGGAATTAGTAAACCAAAAAAAAAAAACTAGTTTGGGTTCTTTCCAAGGAGTAGGGGTGGATTCGAGCCAAGACAAGTTCGAATATTGCCGAGTCGAGCCAAATATTTAGCTATTCAAGCTCAGTTCAATAGAAAATCTTGAGCTCAATTTGAATTAGAGACTTGAGCTCAAATTTGAATTGACCCAAAACTCATATGTTCAAATTCAGCTTGGCTTGAACTCAACAATGGGCCAAACTTTATAAAAAAAAATAAAAAATAGACATGTAAAAAAAACAAATAAAAACTAAACATATAAAAAATAAAGATATTATATATAATATAAGCTCGATTAGACTTGCGAGCTTCATGAATCAATCAAGCTTCATTGGGCTTGAGCTTAACTCAATTAGCAAAGGAACCTATATATTAGGCTCTTACACCAAGCCAAATTGAGTTTTTTATGAGCCAAGCTTGAATAGCTTGCAAAAAACTCTATTAGTGTCTACCCCTACCAAGGAGATCAACGATAGAATCTATCTTTTCTTATTTAGTAGATTAATAATTTATTTAATTAGGAAACAAAAGGGAGATCTTCGCTTGATATTTATTGAATAATTAGAAAAATCGTATGATAGGGTTACTGGAAAAATCATTTAATGAATCTTAGGAAATAAATATATTTCAGGAAAGTATATTAATATCATTAAGATATGTATAAAGAAGAAATAACTAACATGAGAACGTAAAAAATGGAAGACCTTAGAACTTAGAAAAGGAAGTCCCATGGTGTACGTTGCTTGTTCATCAAATAGTATTGGTTGAGAAGACAATGCGGGCTAGAAAATAGAAAATCGGAATGCTTTATGATCAAAAGCTTTTTAGACAATTGAATCAAGACAACATATATTGCAATTTTGGTAAAAGTATTAGAAATATCAGAGACAATGACACTAAAATTAAGATTAATGAATAGGATATATTCTAAATTAAGCATTTCATAGAAATTAAAGATGTTTCGATGGAATAAAAGAAAGATGGTATATATTTTAAAAGATGAAAAACAAGTTTACTTTTTCACTTTTGTCATTGTCATCAATGGATACTTTGTTAGAGACTATTGGATAGTGTATGCCCTCAGCTCTAATTGAACTATTATTAATACCTTTATTATGAATAAAAGTTTATTCATTTCATATGTCGTGGCAGTTCACATTAGTATTATATATGAAACAACATAGTTATTGCAATATAAGTTAATGTTCACAACTAGTGGATAAACCTGGGAGTTTATCTTGACAAGGATGCCACCTTCACACTACGCAAGTGGAGTAAAGGATCTCAGCTATGTGCAGGTTGTGACTTAAGGTGTGAGAATGAGTGTTTGCAAAAATATAAAAAAAAAAAAAAAACACTGAATTGGACAAAACCCAATAAGTTCTTAGACTTTTTAATAGGTGGAACAATTGGATATTACCTTTAATCCCTAGACTTTATATTGGCATCAAGCAAATATCAGATTTGTCTATCTTTGATATGCCAATTCGTGAGATCTTTTTGGAGTCAAATATTTAAGTATGTTGGAATAGTCAATAATGGTATATGATCTGCTTAAGATAGAGAATGCTTTATAGAGTTTCCTATAATGGATACTTGAAGTTGATGACAATTGGATTACATGAATTCTTCAGAAGAATACATTAGAGGTGGAAAAAGGAAAAGTCCTCCCCCACATGATGTTACTAGCAAAGAGATTAATTGTAAGTGATATATCGAACTAATTGGACTTAGGCCTTTAGAATGACAAGGTCTCAAGTATATAAGTGTTTAGACACTAATCGGAACGATTCACTAAAACCCATAATAGATATGGGCAAATTAGCCACATGGGCAAATTGTTTTAAGTAGCCAGCCCTACTAACTAAGTGTTGAGTTGGTAGGGTTAAGAGTCGATTCACTCATTAGTAATGGGTCCCACACCATACAAGTTAGTGCCTCCCATTATTAAAAGAGTTTCCTAGATTTAATGGACACTGTAGGTTGGTTAAGAGTCTCTCTAAGCAGGCCTAGTCAAACTACTAATAAGAAAGTCAAACTTGATTACAACATTTAACTAGGATACTTTGACAATGTTCATTGTCTTCCTCTTCCTCTGCGTCTGTGATTACTTTGAAAAATATCACCGAAGCTTCTAAAGTTTCAGGCCTCTTATCTCTCTTATAAAGCTTCAAAAGTTTCATAAAGATCTAGGAAGCTTCAACTTCTCAAAAGTCCCACATCGGGTTTGAGGTAATCTCGAGCGAGTCTCCGTCTCTCATGGCGTCGCGTGCTGAAGCTTCCTGATTCAGAAATTGGAAAACCCGAAGCTTCTTGGATCTGGAAACCAACTTGCATTCTTTACACCACGTGTGCTGTAAGATCTGTTTTTCCTCTTCAGTCTTCCCCTCTGCAACAACATCGAATCCAGGGAGAAACAAAAAGAGAGAGATAACCTCAAACCCGATGCGATGCTCAGCTTCAAGTGAACGGTGTCACTGCGATTCTAGAATAGTAACTGTGAAGAAGAACGCGCCTGTGCCCTACTCCGCCTCTCGCATGAACAGTGTATTCGGATGAAGGCAGAGGAAGACAATGAACAGTGTTATTGTCGTTTCTTAATATCTTTTAAAAAAAATTACTATATTCAAGGCAAAAAATTGCCCTTATCTGCAAGAAACCCTTTTCTTAATTACTTAAAAAACCTATTTGGATTAGTAGAGAATTCTTGCAGCCCTTTCTTGTCTACGAAAGAAGATCAACATGGGGGGGTCAAGTTAAGTTTTCTTTCTCCCCACATAGCTGAAGTCGACCATCCATTGTGAGAGACTTATCTAGGGTTTTAGAACCTCATTCAACCAGACCTATCTTCACCCATTATAACATTGTTCTGGAACCATTTTGAATAAGAAAAACCAACCAAGTAGGTACACACATCACCATTGTTGCTGAAAATCTTGGAGATCGATTAGAGTTGTAAACCCTAGTGTTGTGCCATTTTCAAAATGTTTCAATCTTTCTTAGCAGCATCAAAACATGGGTGTGAACTACCACTTAAATCTCTCTACACTCGTGGACATTAAAGATCAGGCATTTTACTTAGTTCGTATCCAAAGATATGATTTTGCATGGTTAAATAGACCTAAACGATCCAAAAGAGAAAATTATTCTCCCATGTTATGAGATTTCAACTTTAGAATTGATTAAAAATTTTGAATTTTACCTTCTCTTACTTCTAGGATTTTTGCATTTAATGATCACTTCATGATCATCTTTCAGAGACATGCCCAAGCCACTCCCCTTAATTTATAATAATTACCAAAGTGTCTTATTGCGATTTTAATAAATTAAAGGTTGAGATATTGATTAGTGTATTATTGGTGAAGTCATTTTATTTAAGGGTATTACTTTATATTAACTATTATATGTTTCTTATGTGTCAATCATCTGAGCTTTAAGCTTAGTGTTGTTGATGCATTTGTATCAGTTTTCATAACATACCCATTTGCCCTAAATCATTTCATTGTATCCACTTGCCAAGTCCATACCGTATGTTTCCTAGAATTATTTTTTCAAATACTCTTATGATAAATACTCTAGACCTTGATTCCAGGCCGTTAATGAAGTTGGCATAATCATGGTAACAATGACCTTTGGCTTGCCTCATATAGGAGATCTAAAGCATTATTGCATTATTAACTGTTTCTTTTATTCATTATATACCCGCCCTCTCCCCACAAAGCCCACACGTACGTCATCTGTACATATTTATTTTTAAACTAAATCAATAAAAAAAAACTAAAAGGTCAAAGTTAAAACCTTCATGGGTCTACATTGTTTTTCATAAAACCCATATTTACTCTCTCTCTCTCATCTCTCTGAACCCCCCTTTCTCAAATAAAATAGTGTAAATTAGATGGATTGGGTTAATTTAGGGGCCAACCTAAATACGAACCCTATCTTAACCCCAAACTGATGTCAAAAACGCAAATTTTCCCACCAATACATAGGGCGATCCAACTTCGATAAAAGTATAAAGAAACCATTACTTATTTCCATGAGTTATAAAATTTTCTCTTTTTTATTAATTTAATGTATATTTATTTCATGGACTGTTATGTCAGCCTTTGATTATCTTTATCAGTTCAATTTTGAAATTGATTTTCCTTAAACTTAATTATTGATCTCATGCAAAGCACAGTTTTCCATCCCCAATTCCTTAATCCCCAAACCCTAGTGGCAGTGGGATTTTATCCCATGTCTCCACTAAAACTTTGGTGAACTGGTGTTCCTCCATTTTTTTTCCCTTAAAAAAATACATTTTTAAACAGCAGCCCATGCATCGCACAAGTCATTGCTAGTATGGTACGGTGGCAATACACTTATTTGCACATTAAGTATTTCTTCAAAGTCCATTTCTGGTAAGAAAGATCACTGATACAATTCAAAATCTGGTGGGCTACAACCCAGAATTATTTACTATTCCTAAGTATTCATACAAACAATGATAATATAACCACTACTTACAATGACCGATTCTCAAAAAAATAGGCCTACATGATGTCTTGGCCAGAACTTGTGGAATCTCTTCTCCCACGAAACTGAGATGCACATGCGCTGATCGGTTGGGGGCTTTGGCAAAAGACGTACAAACAAAACAAGCACAACCCTGTTCCAGCAAATATACAGTGAGAAATTGAATTTGAACCTATAAATATGTTTTACAGTGTTTGAGACTGATACTAGATTACAAACGCCATAAATAATTCAAATCTGCTTAAAACATCAAATATCACAAAATGGTGGAGTCTCTCATGTCTTGTAAAAGCTTCAGTGCAAATGCATTATGGTTCATGAAAAAGATGGAGAATTTAACAGGGGAATATTGTTTCACTTGATGGGGGATCATCCATCTTTCATATGAAAAGGCATGTGATGCATCATTTCCCTCAAAAGGTTGGTTTATTTAAACGTGCTGAGACAAAGTTCTTAGTACCCAATTATCCAATTATCTCCCCTAAAAAGAGATGCTTGATTGCCCTTCATGAGCAGTAATGTGCCAAAAAGTACATAAAATGAAGAACCGCCAACCAGAAAATAACGTCCACATCCCAAAAAATATGAACAGACATACCAAATCCTAGAACCACAAGAACCTAGCCCTCCCACTATGGAAATGAAAAAAAAGGATCAACTCAATACCCAAGATAAGTAGCTAATTAACTTGTCTACATCTTAGTGTAAACATAATCTTTTCATCTCATGCTCTCCTACATAAATAAACACAATGCTATTCTTTCCCTGAATTTGTCTACAAGCCAGATACCCTTTAATTATATTTCAGGATGTTATAAAGTTAGCAGGACAAGGGATTAAGAGTCATAAGGTTGACAAGACATGGGCCATGTACCTCTATGCAGAATAGATGTCATCAGCAATCTGGAAGTGAGAACCACCAACCCCCTTACCTAATTCAAAACCTTTCAACAGTTCTAACTCAAGAGATTAGATAGTAAACATCAGCAGGTCTTTGGTTTTGAGTAGTTTTAGTCATTTTACTTATATGCTATGTTTGGGTTATGTGACTTAAAGTGAGATGTAATGTTTCTATTTTGGATGGGGCTGTGGCTAACATGTTGTCTCTCCTATTTATCTCTTTGACTCTGTTTTGACTATTGAGGGTGGAATTTTGTTGCTCTCTCCCATGGATATAGGCTGCTTATCCAAATAACGTTAGATCTGTTAAATGTCTTGTTCTTGCTTCTCTATTTGTTCTGGTTATGAAGCTAATATGTGCAGATTTTTTGTAGTATGATGTGTTAAAAAATAATACTTGTACACATTTTGAAAATTTTAATGCTATAAAGTACATCTAGAAACATCCATGAAGTATCCAATAAGTATTGTATCTGACAGTCCGACACCAGTTCACTAGGAATGTACAGGTACCTAGGTATCATAGATGTTAAATTAAATCACTGGATGGTTAAATGATAGCCATGGTACACCTGATTTTCAGGGAAAATAATTCAGGAGATCCTTGAACAAACTTCCTACTTCAAAGTAAGACACGTGAAATGGGATTAGGATCCCCATTTTCAGGTCTAGTTAACCTTGTATCAACCTAAAATGTGTTATACACACTCCCTTCAATGTATGCATGAGAGTATAATTACTTATTAAGTTATTTACAGACACCCCCTACAGTTTGCAACCGTTTTACTTATCACTTATACCAAAAGTTAAAAAGGATAGATATAAAAGGTACAAGATACACACAAAGTCATTGAGAGACAGTCTTGTCTCTCCCCAACAACCTACTGTTTACAACTGTGCCCAGAACAAAGTTTCCCTCTCCACCCCTTGCTTGGCTAAGCCATCTGCCAAAGTTTACTTATCACTTTTTTCATTGACTGGAGTAGGAAATGATGTTTTTGATCTGTAAAAAAAAAGAAAAAAAATGTTGATTTTGCCCCCAGATTTTGTTTCTAAAAGGTTGATATGAGACGTTATATTTCTGGAATAAAAAGCCTAGGACCATGCCCATTCACGAGGTCACATGGTCATTCCCACACGAAAATACAAACAATTCCTGATGGAAGGTCAGTTAAGTGGTTGAAAACTATAAGGTAGGTTTTAGTAAAAATATGTGAAATCATAGGGGGTGTCTAATTAAATGACCCTAACTTATTCACTCTTACTATAATAGGTTATCTATCCTACCTGCCTAGGTCATCTAGACATTGGACCTTAAAATGCCTTGGCAACACTTTAACCAACTACAATATTCTATTTAAAACCTGTTTACCTTTAGGAATGCCAATTTAAGCCACACAGTAGTCCATAAGAAGACCCATAATCCCATATACTAGAAGAGTTTTATCAGTGGCAAGCCCTCTACTTCTTAAGTTCTTATTTATCAGGAAATATATCTTCATGACGGAGGTAATGAAGTCTTTACTCTTAACTACTTGTGCTTTCTTTTTCTTTTTCAGAAAAAAAAAAAGGTCTCATAATGCTCATGTCAAGCTCAAATCTTCAACTTCCATTTTTCAGAAAAAAGGTTTCATAACATTTCTCTCTTTATTTTATGTATTAGGGAAATATATCAAGAGAATGAGAGATGGTTGCTCTAGTTGATACAATTAACTCTATTCTAGTTCTATTGTCCCTTTATTGCACATGTCTCTAGGGCTCCATATCAGATGGCTGTGATCCTGTGAAGAATAGATTTCTTAATAGAAATCTACAATGTGTCTCTATTCCTGAAAGCTAGAGCTAGGTATGTAGTCTGAGGAAGTCAATTTATGGTTTGAAACAAGGATCAAAATTTCGCAAAAGGGTTTTACCTATTTCAGGAGTAGATAGGCCTTATAAGAACCTCCCCCCCCCCCACTGTGAACAGTTTTGAAGAAAAAACTAAAAAAAAATATATAGAGCCCTGTTGAAAAGTCTGATATGCCCCATCAGGCCTATCGGACTGTATCGACATTTTGAACCTTGGTTTGAAATAGTCCCTAAAGGATAGTCTGACAGATTTAGAGGAGCTATTTAGAAGGTTGAATTCATGAATTTACGCAATATCATACAAATCATACTCCATTTACAAGGCACTTGCTTTGTGGCCATTCTGATAGCTTATGTTGATGACATTGTGATAGGAAATAACATGTTAGAGATTACCATAATGAAGTAATATCTTGCCACTAAACTTGAGATTAAGAATTTTGGGGATCTTAGATGGCTGCAAGGTCAAGAAAGGGCATTTTTATTTCTCAAAGAAAATATATTCTTGATTTTTAAAAGATGTCAAGAAGTTGGAAGATAAGCCAACTAATACTCCTATTGAATATAATTGTAAGGTATGTTTGATGAGGATGATGTAGTTCTAAATAAAGGTGTTTACCATAGGCTGGTGGGAAAAAACTTCTATACCTTTTCTCACTAATCGTGACATTTCATATGCTGCTAGTGTAGTTAGCTCAGTGTTTTAAAAGCGCAAGGCACAAAAAAAGTGCAAGGGCCAATTTGCGCCTGAGGCGCAAGGTGCAAGGTGAGGCACGTGCCTTTTTAAGCAAGGCGCATAATTACAAAAAAAAAAGCTAAAAAATCAAAAAAATAAGTCAGAAAATTCAAAAAAAATGCCAAAAATTTTTAAAAATGCAAAAAATTCAAAAAATATTAAACATAATGTTAATAAAAAATATAAACTTAAATTTTAAAATAAATGTTTTAAAAAACCTATTACCTAAAATTAAAACACATAAGCATAACATGTAAAGCATATTCAAGTGAAAATTTAACAATAAAAGCAAACATATAAAGCATTTTCAAGCATGTAAAACCCACAATCTCTTTTTTTCCTTAATTGCATTGCTTCAAGTAGTGAATGTGATGTAAAACATATTGCATTCTTGATTCTATGAGTCGCCTTTGTACCACGCCCCTCGAGGCAAGCCCAAACAAGTCTATGTAGGGTCTGGAATTCTTATTTCTCACATGAAAAATAATGATTTTATAACTTTCATTGCCTTTTAAGAAGATATTTTATTGCAAGGAATGAATGAACAACATTAGCAAATAGGGGGTTCTCAGAGTAAAAAGCGCAAAATTTTAAAAAGGCGCATGCCTGGGCTGAGGCACAAGGCGCATCAGGCGCACGCCTAGGCGCACCAGGCATGCGCCTAGGACCTGGGCGAAGGGCTAGATGAAACTACATTATGATAATTAGGCAGTTATAAATATTATTTTTGATAAATAACTGATACTTATAAATAATGTCAATAACACAATACAGCATGATTGCACTTTGCACCCAACACATAAGTGGATAGGCCCTTCATTCAGGAAAGAGTTGCCAGTGGAGAAATATGTCTATTTTTTGTCAAGTTTGAAGGTCAACTGGTTAATTGTTTAACAGAGGGTATACCATGGTCCAGGTTAGAAGATAACTTATGTAAGTTTGGTGTAACATCTATGCCTAGATTGAGGGAAAGTGCGACTGTGAGAGAGCTGATGTTGCAAGGGTATTTTAGTCATTATGCCAATACAAGTAATATTGTAATTTATGTGTGTTATACTGTTAATATAAAGACTAATGAGAGGACTATGACCAACAAATTTTTCCTGTGAAATTTCTCCTTTCTCTTCCTCCTCTCTCCTCACTAAATCTTCACAACTAGCATCCTTAAACTGCACATCTTTATTAGAACAAAAGAAAACAGAAGATAGTTACAATATAACCATTACATAATTAGTGTAAAAATCTAGCTTGCCCATGAGAGTACATGGGGTTAGTAGTCCTAGAAGGGAGAGTAGCAGTATCTGAACCAGTTTAACATCCAAAACATTCTCTGAGAAGTGAGAATATGCAGTGCATGGTAGACTTAAAACTGCATTGAGCAGAAGACCACATAATGAAGAAAAATCTGATAAGAGTGCAACTTAGGCAGGCTCACATTGAGCATTTCATAAAATTTTAAGGGGCTCAGCCTGAGGGACCAGGCCTGAAGCAGTCTAAATTCTTCAAATAGGGTTACCAACATGCATCCTTAAAATATGACACCAAAAAAATGAAAAAAGAAATTCTATAGCCAGCAAATCTGCATACTAATCACCAGTTAGCCTAGAAAGAAAAATAACTGTTATAGATACCTGCATAAGCAACTGTAGCACCTGAAGCCAATCGTCCCAAAGCTGAGAGCAGGTAAAGAATGATAACCACCTGAAAATAAATATAAACAAAAGTATCAAGCTAACTCATGTCTTCCACCATGGCCTTTCATCCATGAAAGTAAAAACAATATTAAAGAAAAAACACATTATAACATGAATTACATCTGATGCTAGATAAGGGAAAAATCTTATCTCAATGCTGAGAAATAAGCCTTCAGTCCTAGCCTTACCAACCTGAGATCAACCTAAGTTTCAAGGACTTACTAATCAAACCCATTCATCATCAATATCCATGCCTTATCCCAACTATATGGGGTCAACTTACTAATCAAACCCATTCATTACACATTTTTGGATTTATATCATGTAAGCTCAAGTGCTTTGGTCTGGATACATTAGACACAACAGTAACTATATCCATACATATACATGTTTGTGTGACTTTTTCATTTGTTCCATTAAGGTTGTATATTGCTTGAACTGGAGCCCAAACCATTTATAAGAAAATCCAACACAAGTATAGTCAAAAGTGGGAATCAACCACAAGTAGAAAGCAGAAAAAATTGCACCCTATTCCAACAGTTGAGATGATGAAACAAAGTTTTGACAATTGGTAACAATAACAACTATTATCTCAATGGAAAACCCTTATGCCATCTTTAGAAGTAAGATAACTCCAGATCCAAAGACAGAACCAATTTTATAATTCATCTATTAGTTTTGAGGTTGGAAATTGTAGGGGGCAGCATCCAGGTCATGCTTGTAGCACTAGCATCTAAGCCCAAAACTGTCATATTTAGCTTCCATTGTTTCTTTCATTCCTTTCAATCTTTTCTTATTATTAAATTTGAAATGTATTAAGTGGGAAAGAAGAAAGAAGAAAGATTCCAAAACCTTGAAATGTATTAAGTGGGAAAGAAGAAAGATTCCAAAACATGGCCTTATTATAAAATTTATAATACATTTCAAATGTATTATAAAATTTGAAATGTATTAAGTGGGAAAGAAGAAAGATTCCAAAACCTTGTCATGCAAGTAAGTTATGCTTAGCTTAACATTTTGAATGCAGTCCAGTGTTGAAATCCAAAAGGCAAGTATCAACAATAAAATGCAATAAATGAACTTGTAATTTGAAGATTAAAAATCAAAATAGTCAACCAGTGATAAGTGGCTGTTTTCCATTTCTCTATTGGTTTATTGGGGTTGACTAGTTAAACTGTGGGGTGCTTCTCTTTATTATTTATTTTCTTTCATGTTTTGTTGTTCGCTTGATCTGGTTAGTGATTGAATGAAATACCTTGATCTGAGATAAATATATATTCCCCTGCTGATCAGAGATAAATACCTTGATCTGGTTAGTGATTGAATGAGATTACATTCCGTAAGGTTAATTGAGAATATTTGGTTGAGCACTGTACATATTCAGGATTCAACTTTTAATTGCAAGTTTGCAATATTTTCTTCTTTAAACACATCGGTTAATAATTTCTGTCAGGTAAATGTCCAATTAAACAATTATATTGCCAAAGCCCCAATGCATCAAAATTTAGTTTCAGGTAGAAGATCAATCCAATACATATTCCATACACACACCCATGTTGTATCCAGCTCACCATGGATGCTGAAAGCAAAACAAAGAGTCCAGGTATCACAGCTCCAGGATTAGTATTTCACCACCTATTCCATTATCTTGTCTACTAGGGCCAGGCTATCTTTCTATGCAGAATTTCAGTTGAAAAAAGACACGTCTGACATCATCACACGCCAATATTGACAGTCCACCACAACTGTTTTCATCAAACAGGTATCATATGTGATTCTAGCAAAGAGAATGCAAACAATGAAAGCTTCGAAAGTTGCCTCAGGCAGTAGAATTTGGCTTAACTAATATGTTCCCCCTCCCTCTGGATCTTCCAACCAATCAATACAATTATGTATAGAAAAGAAAATTCATGTTCATCCTTCATAGCGAATTCGATCAAATAAAATTATCTCTAATACAATAGCTTTCATATAAGGTTGAAGCATAACAAATAGCAGAAAAATAACAAGTGTGAATGATGTATGTAAAATAAAACATTTTATATGGATTAGATCAATTTTTTTATTGAATTGCATGAGTTTGTTAATCTTCCATTATGTTCACAAAGTACTAAAAAATCAAAATCCACAACAAATATATATATATATATATACATATATATATAGGATGGTAACTCATTTAAAAACAGTCACTGTGAACACAGAATCAAGTATAAAATTTGTTTTGTTACCAATACCGACCTTAAAAAACAGTCTCTTGTCATGTCCAGTTGCAGCCACCCTCAGGACAGACTCAGCCGCTCCAACCATATTAGCCAAGCAAGCAAAAACACTATTGGCAGTATCCTGAGAGATTTGCCACTCTAAAGGATCCACAGGTACCCTATGACAAAATCCCACCACAACTAATGAATTTTAAAGTTTAGAATTTAAATCAAGTAGAAAAAACATTCCACCAGAAAAGAGTGTTTAGCATTTGGGATAAATAATAACATAGAATTTATTATGATTTATTATGATGAAAATGAAAATTTGACAATCTAACCAAGCAATAAGTTCAATCTCAACTTCTTGTAACTAAATTAGAAGATTTGGACAACAAATTCAAAATAATTTCAAAACCCATGAGTATCCAACTACAATAGAAACCAAAATTTTTTGTATAGAAACAGAAACCACAAAATATATATAAAGCTCATTAACACATACACAATGAGAAAAACCAAATGTCCACTGAAATTTGTAATTAGCAATAGCAAAATTTTATTGACTATGATTAAAGGAATTGCAAATATACAATGAGCACCCCAAATTTAGGATGGCACTAGCTACCTAACCCTTTGCTTTTGCTTTTGTAAATGCATCAGAGATAATCTTACAAAAGTCCCCAAAACATTTGCTCCCTATAGGTGCATTGCTTCGCTGATGAACGAGCCAAAACAACTGTTGATTTTCTAGCCCCTGAGTAGACAATTGACAAATCTTTTTCCATTTTCCTAAATTCTGTCATGTCATTTCTGTACTGCCAGTCTGCCACACAGTTTCACTATAGTTTTTCAGAAATTGTACCACCACTTTGGAATCCCCCTCCACAATTTAACTTCTGACGTGTAGTGACCCACTCAACTCCAATCCCCATAAAACTACCACCATGTCAGCTTTTATGTAGTCTCCAATGCCTAAAGGACCTGAATAGATGGCTACTAATAATCCCCCATCCTTGGCTGTCTCTAAATACAGAAGCCAAGCCTGATGGGCCTGGAACCGGATTTCCAATTCTGCAGCCATCAAAGTCTAGTTTGACCTGGTTAAAAGTCATAGAAATCCATTGCATCATGAAGATCTTGTAGTAGATCATTGTTTCACCCCCCATGACATCATCTATTGAGCAAGAGGCGAAAGCTTCTAAAGTTTTGATACAAGGCAAGACTTTGATTTAGATGCTTTTCATTAGGTTGCTTTTGATTGTTTCTTATCTTCAGAAATTCTAGCATTCCTCTCCACACATATTTGCTGCTCTTGTGCACTTCCACATTCGTTTTCCCCTCCTTTGTATAGTGAAAAAGGATTACTTGAAGAGTCTTTTTTACATTTACCAACTTTTAAGATTACCAATGAATATTGGAATAATTAGAATTAAACTAGTCTTAATTAACAAAACAAAGAAACCAAGATTAGCAGAATCAAAACCCAAAATTCAGCATTCAATCTTAAAACTAAGCCTCAGACAAGAACCCAGCATTAGAAAATGTTCCGGAAACAAAGAAAAGGATTTACCAAAATTAAAACCAAAAACCAGCATTCAATCTAATATAAGACCAAAGCCCAAACTAAATTTATACAAAGACCCTCATATTGAGATAAACTGAAATTCCATCTGCCGTTAACCCCCTCCCCCAACCCTTTGAATTGAAATGAATTTAGAAAAGCTCTCCAGAATTTGGCCTTAATTTCATATATCATTATCTGGAATTCGACATTGAGGCCTCAATTAAAACCCTAATTAACAAAGATGAAAGAAACGCAAAAGAGAAAAACCAAGGAACAGAGAGGAAATACGATATGTTCATTTGTCGAAATAGCATCCCGAGAATAGCGAGAGAACAGAGGAGGACGATGAAGACGTCGGAGACGAGCGAGACGAGACTCGAATTCCGGTAGACACAGTGATAGTAGACGAGGGTCCCACATATCAACAGAACCAACGGTTTCCCCACCTCCGTTCGGCAACGGCAATCCATACGATTTCCACCGCTCGCCTTTCTCTCTTTCAGTCCTTCGTGTGATCGTGTCCTCTCTTTGGAGTTGATTGTAAATAGTGTATGAAACCGATCGGACGTTGGGCGGATTTCCGAATAGGATGTCAATGGACCGGTTTGGGTTGGACCCGTCCAAATCAAAACCAATTTCAACGGGCTGGACAGTCAAATAAGACATTATGGTACTGTTTGACAATTTTTTTTGAAATATGTAATGAGCATAACGATCTTAGCAGCTTAAATATCCTTTGGTTGGAAACATATCTTTCCAGCAAATAAGAGACTTGAGCAGGTGAAAACAATGGAAAGTTCCAATTTTAACTTCCTGAAATAAGCTCGAATCGAGCTTTTCACGTCTTTTTGGAGCAGTCTTTCAACAAAAAAATCTTTTTGGAGCACGGTCTTGGTAGGCCAATGGGTTTTTATTTTTTCACCATGATTGAGATGTGCTAATACAAATCACATTGGAGCGTGTTAGAACAGCTTTTATTCTACTATAGGTAGGGTAAGGCTAGATTGGGGAGCGGTCTCTTTGAAAGACAGAGAAAGACAAAGAGTTAGAGCAGGATTGGATCTCAGGCTAGGGTGTTGGGTTTGAGTGGTAGAGTTGGGAGTGAAAGGCAAAGGGTGCTTGATTGCTAAGTGACTTTCACTACGAGGATGATCTATATTTATGGGGGGGACCCCGAGATCATAAAAGGTAGGAAACAGAGGCAATCGTCTCCTATTAGAAAAGGGGATATTCTACTTGTTGTCAATCATTAAGTGCACCACTAAGGTTTTGCCACATGTCTCATTGGGGATCTTCTTGAGGATCGGCCTTCCTTTCGCCCAAGATCCCTCATTACTCACGTGTACTACCACCTCTTATGTGCCTTAATTGACGTGGAACTAATGATGTCACCGTCTGGTGGGTTTACCGTTCGTTCCTTCGATGTTGCGTGCACAGGTGGTGCCTGGACACGGTTTCTTAACGGGTCGTGGCATCGTAGCGGTTGAGGGTTTATTGCGGGTCTAAGCGTGTACGGGTCTCATCGTGGGTTCAGCCTAGGTTTGCCTTGGTTCGGGCTACGAGTGAAGTCATCAAGGGCGTGCAGTAAACCGTGGGCTCATCGTGGTCCTGCGATGCGCTCTGTTGGTTCATTGTAGGCTTGTCGTGCATCGCGGATAAATCGCAAAAGAAAAATTAACTGTAGGTTGATCGCATGCATCCATGTGGTATCAATACGGTATTGAATGTTCTCTGAGGGATTAAATGAACACTATGTACCTATAAGAGGAGATCTAGAATCATCATGGAATGATGGAAAGCTTGTGGTTTCCTAGGATTGAACTTGAAAATATGCCAAGTTACCATCTTGACTATTTGGCATTTGGGGCCAAACCTTAGGCTGCATTTCGAAGTGATGTAAATCAAGAATCCATTTAAAATTTACATCGGCGCGGTTTTATAGGCATTTGGAAGGAATGTGTAATTATGATTGATGTAAAACTCAATTCCGATTCTGTTTTTTGTGCATTCGGATGGAGTGGAATTTTACATCGTAAATCGATATTATATCAATCTACTTTTATACTAATAATGTTTTAGATCAGATCTAAACGAAGCATTAGATGAGATTCAATCCCAAGTTTCCACTAAAATAGTTAACGCCTTACTAGCAATTTTTCATTTATACCTTTATAATCCCAACATAAATAAAAAGACCCCATTTGAATCCCACCTTCTCTAGCGATTGGGATTTCAAGGTTTGAGAAGGCAATCCCCATCTGTATTCTATTTGCCAATGACCCAATATCTGAGTGGGCGGCTGACATTCCTTTGAGTACGGTGGCAAGGAATCAAACTTGTACAACTGCAGGTTCTCCCTGGTATGGTCAATGGACCATATGTGTATTTTGATCAATCTCCATCTACTGTCTAAAAGGGTCAATCAAGTTATTAACTTTTTTTTGGATAAATCGAGTGGTATGTTTTTTTTTTGTTAAAATTCTAAATATAACATTTTTTTGTTAAAATTTTAAATCTAACATCCCAAGTTTATTATTTGTCTCATTTCTTTTTCTAATAAATTTATAATATTTATTATATGGATGATTCTTCATATGTTTTCTTTATTTTAAATTGATAATTTGAATAACTTCAAAATATTTCATTTCCAAACATGAAATGTAAAATGTTTGTAATTATTATTTTATTTAATACTTGAAAGTTAGAACAATTGCTCATAGATAAGCTTCTATTTTATGGATACATATACCTTCCATCATTCTAATTAAACTTGGTATATTATATGTTGTTTTTCTCATTTGTAGACTTTAATTAATTTTTTTCTTGATTTTTGAGAACTACAATTCACCTTTTTGGGCTATTACGCCTCAACTATGCCTATGCCTTTAGCCTTTTAAAATTTTGATTATAATACCTAAATAACCAAAAAAAATCCCTACTTTTTTATTTTTCTTATATGAAGATACCCTTTACAAAATTTTTTTTCTAATGAGGCCCACCGGAGTCTAATATCTTTTAACAATGTTATAAGCTTTCCACCACACTTTATGCACCTTTCCAACTAACTAACATGAATTTTGTACATAACTATGTAATTATAATTAATTACCTTATGAAAAAGCACAAAAAGAAAAAACAATTAGTTATGTTTTAATTCGTCCATTGGAAACGGGTGTCTAGATTAAAGTTAATTATAGCCGTTTGAAGTTGTAATACCTATTTTGACCTCTTTTCTTTCTTTTTTCTTTGTAATCTTGGGCCTCCAAAAACCCTTTAGCAACTTGTTGTTCTACTAGGGATAATAAGCCTACTTTTACCTTTCTTTTGGATTTATTTTATTTTATTTTATTTTATTTACCTTAAAATAAGGTTTTCATTAAAATTAAAACAATTAACCCGGATATATAGAGAGGAGAATCAGGAGACCAAGCATCCCCTGCATATGTTCTTATTCTTGTGCCAAGGAACTTTCAATCCTTGTTGCAGCAGCCACTATCCTTTATTCTACCTTTATGTCTAACCTTTTACAATGGATGGTTATGATATAGTGGTTATGTTGACCATTCCCATTTTAATAATGGGTGTCACTCTCATAGAAACGTGCATGATTGAAACTGATGGTTCATGCTTATATCTAAAACGTCAATTTCGATATTTGAATTAGAAATAACAATTTGTATTGATGTAGATAGAAACAATAATTTATATTTATCAACCCAAAACATTTTAGATAGAAACAACAATAGTGCCAACATCAAATCCTGTCTTGATTGACCGGGACAGGGGCTTTTTGAGGTTGTGGCACAAATGCAAATTGGGTTGTTCGAGTTAAATAATTTCAACTACATTGGATTTGGGTTTAGCTTATTAACTCAAAATATGACAAATGCTAACTTCAACCCAACCCAAGTAGCAACCTAATTAGGGGGAGGCTTACCCCTATTTTGTAGCCTTTTTGCCAATCAAAAGAATATTGCTCAAGGCATTATGTATATTTCTCATGGTGCATGAACTTCGATGCTTAAGTTAGTGAAGGAGATTTAGAGAGAGCTGATAGCTTATAAGTAAGAGAGCTAGTGAGCAATAATCGCATGTACTTTGTAACATTGGGGTTGAATCTCTTATATATGTGAGTTGTCATAGGTCTTACAAAACACCTCCAAGATCCCTGACCCGTGTTACCAGGAGTCCATTCCACATCTGAAGATGGACTTCATGTGAGCTGATAAGCCTTATCGAGTCCGCCCAATTCGAGCGGGATGAGGATGAGGCTTTGCAAGCATGCGTCATGATCCCAGGAAGGTCGGAGACAGCTGGCCAACTTCTAGAAGTGGGCTACGTGTCTCCTCAGCAGGTCAGGCCATCACAAGCTGCTCGGACCTCGATCTTGGCCGAGGTGCCCGAGGTACCCAAGCTGACTTGGCTGGCTGAGGCGGCAGGAAATGTGGAATTATCATCCTATCAGTAGATCATTCCAAGTGTCTGCTTGCTAACAGGTTGGGCCAAATTAACCCTCATCAACTCTGAATTAAAAGGTTTAATGGTTTATAGTTGGCTTGCCCTCTTTAATAAGGCAAGCCTTGTGTTTGATCATCATTGAACTTGATCTTTGTGCACCTGATACATGACATTTAATTATTCATTTCTACGAAAATTTTATTACAAGGTTTTAAAAACCGATCCAATTTCACTACCAGATTTAAATGGATGGTCCTTTCTAATTTATAAAATAAATTAATTAAAAAATAATTAAAATAAAAAAGGTCTAAAACCATTGTCTAGATCAAATGGATTAATGGTTTGATTGCTCAAATCAATAGGTCGCTGACCAAGTTGATGATGGGTCAACGATGATTTGAAAACACTACTATTATCTCAATGATATCATTTTATGTTTACTAGCATCATTAAATAAACATCTCTTTCTATATTCCTTTTTTATACAATGAGAGGATCAGAGCATCCTGCCAGCTGCATCAAGAAAAAATCATAAACATAAAATCCTAAGGGCTTTCATCAACAAATTCCTACTCTCTAACCAATTCACTTTCTATATTCTTTTCGGTATCAATTGAGTTTTCTTATCAACTGAATGAATGCTCTTAGTTAAACTTAGGTGGTGTTTGATAAATCTGAAAATTCAGATATGAAAAATTAAAAAGATATTAAAAGTGTTTGAAATCTAAAAAGAGGCATGATGCTTTTCTACTTTTTAGAGGATATGAATCCATAAGTTTGTTTGTATTGGATCAACCCTTTACCATCTGAAACTTACTTATTTTACTATTTTACCCCTAAAACATACTATTTGGATCAGTTTGCATTATCTCATAAAAAATAATTTTCAACTGCAAAATAATATTGAAACAATACAAATAAGAAATAATAAATTAATAATTACTAATTAATAAATGAAACGATTAAAATTAAAAATAATGAATATAAATATATTAAAATAATTAATAAATAATAAATAACACAAATAAATTTAATAAAAATAATTAATATTTAATAAAAAATATTAAAAT